AAAATGTGTGCACTTTCAGGGGGAGTCCCTCAGCCCAGCCTGTGCCCTCTTGCAGTCTGGGACCCCTCAGGGGATAACCACCTGCTGGCTTAGGCCCGCTCCCTGGGGGATTGGGCCCAAGCTGGCAGTCAGACATCCCTCTGGCAGCCCAGGAGCCCTCGGGGGATGACCACTTGCCATTTGCATATTACCCTTTATTATATAGGAGTGCCTGGCCAGCCTGGATGAGGGGCTGATGGCTGTTTGCAGGCTGGCCACAGCCCCTTTAGGATGGGGGGTCCTGCTGGGGTGCCTGGCCAGACTGGGTGAGGGGCTAAGGGCCGTTTTCAGGTTGGGCGCAGCCCCTTCAGGGTTGGAGTCCCCGCTGGGGTGCCTGGCCTGCCTGGGTGAGGGGCTGAAGGCTATTTGCAGGCTGGCCACCGTCCCCAGCCACCCAAGCTCCCAGTGGAGGATGGCTGGAAGCAGGTATCTGGGATTATAATTGAAACTTTTTTGCCTTCAGTGGAGGCCAGAGCTGGCCAGGGCAGGCGGGAAGCTTGGCTTCCTCCATCGCCAGGGCAACCTAAGCCTCCTGCTTCCTCCAGCTCCGTGGCTGTCGGCCGCCATCTTGGTTGGGTTAATTTGCATATAGCTGCTCTGATTGGCTAGTGGGTGTGGCTTGGGGGGTAGTGAAGGTACAGTCAATTTGCATGTTTCTCTTTTATTAGATTAGATTCTATGTTTTAAAATTTTTCAAGTCTACTTTAAACTGATAGCGTTCACATACTAACCTGGATTTCCTATTTCTCTTGGAAAATGGACAGATGTGGCCCATTGGGTTTCTCTGCTCAACTGTCACTGTCCCTGCAGATAGCACACTCTCCACAGTCTCCAGGACTCTCCAGTCTCCCTGACAGCCAGTGCCAGTTGCCTCTTATCACTGAATTTACACTACTGTTCTCTTTATAATAAAGAACTTTGCTCTGGCTGGCCAGTGTGGCCCAGTGGTTGAGCATCAACCTATGAACCAGGAGGTCACGGTTCAATTCCTGGTCAGGCACATGCCTGGGCTCCATCCCCAGTAGGGTGCATGCAGGAGGCAGCTGATTAATGATTCTCATCAGTGATGTTTCTCTGTCTCTCCCCCTCTACTCTCTCTAAAAATCAATGGAAAAATATCCTCAGATGAGGATTAAGAGCAACAACAAAACACAAAGAACTTTGCTCTGTATCTCTGTGTACTAGTATACCAAAAGTTGGAACAGGAAAAGCTGAATGGGTCACATGAATCAAGAAAAATAGGATATTCATTCATTCAATCAATATTGCTAACCCACTATGCCAGGCACAGGATAGGTATGAAGAGAGAGCCGTGGACGGCATGAGCGAACATCGCTCCCTCCCTGTGGCCTCATTCCAAACACTGTGTAACTTTCTTTCCACAAGTGGGGGCATCTGAGTTGCTTCACAGCCCATGGAAAAGACTGCCTTTTGTATCCAGGGTCACCCCTGAAGACTACAACAGGGTACACCTCTCTCCTAGGCAGACTGTGTTAGTCAATGTTGTTTCTCCAGGATTTATCCAAAAGGTAAGTGCATAGTAGGTGCTCACTTAGGGTCAGTTGAAAGAGACAGTCTGGGATAAGAGTGGAAGGTTGACAGGCAGACATGGGCTGCCTGAAGGCAGATCCCTGGAAAGGAAAGGGAAGGGTGAGGTGAATTTACTCCCACTGCCAAGCCCACATCCCCCTCACAGGGACCCTAGGAGGTGGTGATAGGATTCTCAGGTGACAGACAAAGAAGCCGGATGGAAAGGAAAGCCCCTTAGCTAAACCTACAGGTTCCAGGAAGGAGTGGAGGAAGAGGTTCATTTGCCCCCCAGGCCCACACTCGCCCCACCCAGCTGGATGCTCCACAGACGTCCTGTGGGGGATGTACAGGGCCACCCCTTGAAAAACTGTCCTCTTCAACTGGATGCCCGAAAGGCCACCATCAGCAGGCTACCCTACCCTTTTCACTTGTGACTTTTGAACTGTGAATTCATTTTTCGGACTCATTTCCTCCTAATCTGTTCCAGCAAACATTCAATATGTGAGGAAGGTGTGTGTGGTTGGGACTACGAGATGTTCATTATGGGGCAGGGAGAGAGCGAAAAGAAGGGGTCCGGTCCCTGTCCTGACTATGTCAGTAAGAGAAGCTCAGCTGAGTCCTAGCGTCCAAGTGGCAAGCCTCCTGGAGGCCACCAGCGCTCCACGGGTTCTGAGGAGGGTGGGTCTCCCTCCAGCTGGGCCTGGGCACTGGGCAGGGCACGATGAAAGGCTGGGGAAGGTCCCAGGCAGAACCTCGGCCAAGGGTGGGCTCTAGGGGGAAGCCGACATGAGCTTCCTGTCCTGGCTGCAGCCTGGCCGGGACTGACTTCCTATGGAGTCCGCGGCTCTCCGGCTTTGCTGTACCTGAAATCCGTCCATTTGGGACAAAAGACGAGGGTGTCTGCGCCTGTGTAAGCCCCACCGCCTAAGGCCTGGCGCCTTTCGGGATCTCGGTGGACTCAGAGCGGTTTCAACGCCCCCTCCTCCACGAAGCCTTCCACACTTTCCGGCCGCGCTCTCCGCTTTCCATGGCGGCCCTGCGTGTAGCCCCTATGGAGTCCGCGGCTCTCCGGCTTTGCTGTACCTGAAATCCGTCCATTTGGGACAAAAGACGAGGGTGTCTGCGCCTGTGTAAGCCCCACCGCCTAAGGCCTGGCGCCTTTCGGGATCTCGGTGGACTCAGAGCGGTTTCAACGCCCCCTCCTCCACGAAGCCTTCCACACTTTCCGGCCGCGCTCTCCGCTTTCCATGGCGGCCCTGCGTGTAGCCGCCCGTCGGCTCACCCGCCGGAGC